CTCAGATAAAATACAAAACAAAATTATTTTTTGAAGACATTTAAGGGCTTGGATCAGAAAGTTGAGATTTCAGCAGGTTAGCGAGCTTATCACAAGAAGCCCAACTTTAATTCGTGGCCCAGACACTGGATAGAGAGGTGGCTTTTAAGAGTCAGAGGAGCCAGCAGAATATTAGATAATATTAAAGGGCTGAAAAGACAAGAGTTGAGATTTAAGGTCTGCCAGAGCCAGCCAGGAGTGAAGTGGAGAGAAGACAATCACCAGAACGTGATGGCCAAGATAAAGACCAATGCCACCACAGCAGGACTCAGAATGAAAAAGGCAACAGAACCCAATTCCTAGCAACCTTGTTAGTGCAGTTAGAGAAATGTACTTGAAATCTGCTATCATTAATATATTTGTGAAAATAAAAACGTGAGAAATGGAAATTTTCAACAAAAGCTGAAATCTATAAAAATGATGCTGATGTAAAATTTAAAACTGAAAAATACAATACCGACATTTGAAGTCATTAGAAACAAGGTTTTATTCTCTCTCTCTCTCTCTCTCTTTCTGTGTGTGTGTATAAATGGTGACTTTACAAGTGGACCTCACCAGATGGAATATGCAAGAATCAAATGGACTACTCTGTGGCAAGAGAGTACAGAGAAGTTTCATGTCACTAAGAAAACAAAGGTGGGCGGGGTGAGGGGGAGGCTGACTGTGGAACAAACACTCAATTGCTCATATGCAAGTTCAGGTTGAAGCTGAAGAAAGTTAAAAGAAGTCCACAAGAGTCCAAACACATCCTTGAGTATATCCCATCTGAATTTAGAGCCCATCTCAGGAACAACTTTGATGCACTTAATATGAATGACCAAAGACCAGCTGAGTAGTGGAATGACATCAAGATTACATGGAAACCAATAGGGACAGCAAGTAGAATGAGGGTTTCTGTAGGGAGGGGGCTACGGTGGGGGTGGGGGGATAAAAGGGAGACAATATCAAGGAATCCAGGAAGGATAAGAATGTTTGGAAACTGATTGTAGAAAGTAATGGGCATACTGGCTGTATTCTCCAAAGCAGAATTATTTGTTTTTCTGCTTCTCTCTCATCGCTTTATGTGACTGAACTATAGAATGATATGATATATGTATTAACTCCCAATAATAATAATAAAAGAAAGACCATAGTGGATGTCAGAAGAGTCTCTGAAAACACGGGTAAAATAATTGATCAGTTCCTTCATTACATTAGCGAGAACTTATTAAAATATTGTACATACCATGCCTCCTTTAGATTTCTATTTGAATGAAAGCATTTTGGACAGCAAATTTTAGAAAGGCATTTTAAATGGCAATGTATGTATCATACCTCTAAATAGTACATATTTGGAGAGTCAAAAATGACTGCAAAATAAATTAATAAACTGAAAGGAAACATCTTTTAAAAGACTTGTGCCGTTGTCACCAAAACCCATTTTAGATAATTTCCTTCATTTTGTATCTATTATTATCAGCTCTCCATCTCCCCATCCTCCCCTGTCAGAGCCCAAAGGAACTATTTATCAAATTACTTTCACTAGAGGTTTCCTATCCTGGACTGCTTATAGAGAAAATCACACAAAAGACCCCCAAAATAACAAAACAGAGAACCCTCCATCCAAAGGAAAGCAAAAAATAAGTTTTAAAAAGTAGAAAAAGTTATAAATGAGTCAAAAAGGAAAAATAAAGGTAAAATGTTGAATTTTAACCTAACAACACCTTCAGTAATCTACTGAGGACAAGACTATGTATGGTCTTCACTATTCAACAGTCTGATTTCAAGAGTTCAGTGGAGGCGTAATCCATAAGGTGACTGGGTGAATGGATTGGTGGGTTTCACTGTCATCCATAGACTTCTTCAAACTGGGGATAGCACAGCAATTTTATGAAACTGGCCTTGTTAAGGATTTGTGTCCCCTCAAAAAAGATATGCTAAATTCTAATCTCTACAACTTCTAATGTAACCCTGCTTATAATGAAGACTTTCGCTTTTGTTATGCTAATTCTTTCATACTAGAATAGAGTAGATCCTGTAGCTAACCCCTTCTGAGCTATGTCTAATGAAAAGGGAAAACACACAAGGGAAGCCAGTATGTGAGGGTCTACCTAACCAAGGAATGTCAAGAAATGGCTAGGTGGTTGGAAGCTGAAGGATAAAAAGAATAATCTTTTGCCTAGAGTGGACTGTGTTAGTCTGGGTAGACTAGAGAAACATCATCATAGACACTCATATGTGTATAAGAAAGACCTTTATACACAAAAGCAATTAAATATTGATAAAACATCCCAGCTCCGTCCAGATCAAGTTCATAAACCCAATGTAGGCCATATGTCCAATACCAATCTATAAATTCCTCTTCAGACGCAAGAAACACATGCGTGATGCTGAATGCAGGACAATCAGTCCAGTGGGTGAGAAGTCTTGTGGATCCATTGGCAGTAGAAGCATCTCAGTGCTGGCGTGCGTCTCCACCTGGCTCCTCCAGCTTCAGGGCTCCGGCTGCACCAGCACAGGTTCATCAGGCTCGTGTTTAGTAATGCCTTGCAGGGCTTGCGTGAGTGTGCATCCCGCCTTCAGCGAGCTATTTATCTCTTTAGTGCCTCCAAATGAGACCATCATGCTGTGACCTGATTGAAAAGCTAAACTCCACCCCTTCAGTCTTCAGTCTCAAATTGACAGCAGATTATGTAACTACCACAGGGAGGGAGCATAGCCTTGCTGACCCTCTTAATTGGGACAATCAATGTCTGTTTTTTAAAGTTCTGCACTTGAATTTTCATTAAGACAGCTATATCATCTTGTCCAAATGATTTAACCACGTTGAACTTTATTTTTGACCAAATTGCCTTTCTTGAACTTAATAATTAACAATATGAAAAATAATGCCTGCCTCTTTAGGGGTTGTGAGGATTGATTAAATCATGTAAAATTCAGGAGATGTTCTGCATTTTCAATAAAGAAAAGCAGCCACCAATAAACCAGTAAATCTGAGCCATATAAATCTGGCAAGGTAAATTGGACCAGAAAAGCATCATTACAGATTAGGAGAAATTTTGAAAAAAGAGATCAGGTTAAGCAAAGTGTGTGTGTGTGTGTGTGTGTGTGTGTGTGTGTGTGTAGGAGTGAGGGAAAGGTAGAGATAAAGAAAGGGTGATCAATTCAGTCAGGAAAAATATTATTTGGGAGATTAATTAACCAAGGAAAATTAATATAGATCTAGACAAAAATTTGGGGAGGGGGTGAAAGGAAGAAGGTGCTGGAGAGAATGTGCAGAGTAGGGTGACTGACTTGGAAATTCTTTGTAATTAATTTTTTATTTGGCATACACATGAAACTGTACGCTTCATAAGGATACGAACCATCTCTCTTCTGTTCAACACTGTCTGTTCAGGACATTATACAATGCCAGGAACAATAGTAAGCATGAGAGGAAGGACTCCGGTAGTACCTGTTAAATGAATCCATACATTTGGATGATAGGCAAGAGGGATGAACATTTCCAGGGGTTCAACACAGACGACTGAGAGAATCCAGAAGCAGGTTGGACGTGCATAGAAAATAATAAATGAATCTAATAAATTTTGCATTCAACGAGTTTCGGGATCTTATAGTGCATTCTGCTGTTCATGGTCAGTAAAATTCCCTATGTTCTTTGGAAAGAAAGCTCAAAGAAACGAAAGGGCGGAAGATAGGTTATTATGATTCATCAGCATATGTGTATACATTGCGATCATGTGGGAGCAGGGTGATCATTGCCAAGACAACCCCGGATGTGACGCAAGAAAGAGGCTCTTGGGAGGCAAACAGTCTGAGGGGGCGTGGTTACACGCCTTAGAGCGCCAAGGCTGTTAGGGCGCAAGGTCCTGAGTTGCCAGCCCAGGGACAAACCAGTTCAAAAATATGAAGAAATCTGAGGAAGATTGGCCTCTTGGAGCTAGACCAAAATGCCAAGGAAGGAGTGACAGTAGCCAAGAGGAGCCACAGACCAGTCAGTAAGTGAACAAACCAGAAGTCTGCGGTGGTTTTGAGATGAGAAGTTTTCGTGAGGTGTAAGCGTGAATCGCTTTTTATGTACTTAGATCTAAGTTACTTACTCGCTCTGGGCTTTAGTTTCTTAAGTATAAAACAGAAATTCTTAAGTATAAAACAGAAATGATAATATAGCCGTTTACGGTTATCTTACGGAACCAATTGGTGAATGGGTGAATGCGATGTGTGATTGCCACTGGGTGAAATTTTAACTATTGTAAAAGTAGGTTTTGGGATATCTAATTTGTGGTGAAAATGTTGTGAATAAAAGTTCTACTCTGTGGTAAAAATATAGAAAACTTTTCATTTGGTCATCGATGCACTTAAACGTGTATCCCAGAATGGAAGAACTCCAGGAGCCTTTTCTACTGGCTATAGCTAGGGCAGTAGTGAGTGTTTTTAACTAAAGTCCCTGCGGGGTTCGGGGATTCATTCCGCTTGAGAACTATTCTTCGACAACTTTACTCTAGGCTAAGGCCTGGTCTCAGCTGGTCATGCGCATTATGACTGTGCTCCCCAAGCCCGCCCCCCCGCCCCCCCTGCTCCACCCTTGTCCCCTATTGGCTTATAACGAGGCTTTGCCCCACCTCCTGTAACAAATAAGCCGCCTGATTGGCCTCTTTCAACGGAGATTTCCGCTGCCTGTTGGCGGGAAGGGACGCTCCGGTAGAAAACTGTGGAGACTTTCAGTCAGTAGTCAGTTTACAAAGCAAGTTTCTTCTAAATCGAGCGCTGTGAATAAATATCAAACGAATAGAAAAGGCGGCTGGGAGGGGAACGTAGGAACGGAAGGGCGCCGTGACTTAAGGTTGGACCTTCGGGTGCCTTTTAAACGGACGCAACTACTTCCGGAAGGGCATGGGTGGGTGGAGAGTTCGGTGTCTTTGGCGGGTTTTGCGGTCTTAAATATGTGATCTTTCTAAAGGTACCAGCCACGGACACGTGACCAAGTCGTCACACAGCCACTGCCTGAACACGCTTTAGGCACCCCTGGGACCATGTCTGTGGTAAGTGCTCGTGCTGTCGTGAGGTGCCAGAGCGGCCGCGCTTGTGAGGTGGAGAGGCGGGGCACCGGGCCAGCCGGCCGCTGATCATGTGGGCAGGTGGCGAATCCCAGGCTGGCCCGCCATCTCGGGGCGGGGTCGGGGGCGGGGCCCGAAGTTCCTCCCCCTTTCCGTCTAAACAGTAGTTGCTTTTTAATCTCTGTAAGGACCCTGCGGAGGTGACAAGCAAGACGCGAGTCTGTTCATGGTTTGGCATCTCCTCTCGATTATCTCCCTCTCTAAAAATCACTTTAGCTGACCTGAGAAATGAAACTCTTGATTTGTTGTTGTTGTTGTTTTTCTCTTATAATGGACTGGGCAAGGTAACTAGCTAGAAAAGAAAGTACTTGATTCTTTTGCATACTAAAACTGCAGGCAGCATTTCTTTACTTCTGCTTTCCCTTTACGAATGCCAGTGAATGTACCAGGTGGGTTTCTAAGTAGGGTTATGTATTTGGGGCTGCTAAGGGCAAGGTGAGCAGTTTGAAACCACAAGCCACCCAGCAGGAAAAAGGAGGCTTTCTACCCTTGTAAAGAGTTACAGTTATGGAAACCCACTGGGGTGGTTCTACCCTGCCCTATAGGGTAGCAGCGAGTCAGAATTGACTTGATGGCAGTGAATTTGAAGTTCTTTGAAAGTCATCTCTTTTTCCTCTTTCCCTCTAGCAATTCTTGAGTTTGGTCGCAACTGCTGGCCGGAACAGAGAACTAGCTAGCTGTTCCAGCACACGCACTAGCAAATAAAATGCACCTTTATTTTTAAGGTTCAGGTAGAACTGTTATTATTAAAGTGGATATTGTGTAAAAATATCGAAAGCGTGAGGGACTTGGCCATGAACAGGTCATAAATGGATAGGTCAAGAGTAAAAAAATAATACTGATCACTCATTAGACTTAGGGCCTACAGACATCTACCTAGAAATTGTGACTTTTTACAACTTGGAAGCTTTTGAAGCCTCTTCTTTCACGTGAAAGGTGAACTATGTGTAAAGCCACAAAGTGATTGAATGGTTTGGTGGGTGGCAGGGGTTGGAGGAAGGGTCATTTACACTTCTGCAACTTTTTGTTGTAGGATTTTAAAACTTATGTAGATCAGGCATGTCGAGCTGCAGAAGAATTTGTCCATATTTACTATGAGACAATGGACAAACGAAGACGGGTGAGTGCTGTCGAGCTGGCTGCTGGCTCTTAACTCTCAGTTCCCATTTCAGCCACTCATTCATGTGCAGTGACCAAGAAATGTGACAAAGAATTTTCATTGTGCCTTGCCTTGACTATTTATTGTGACCTGCTGTTTTCAAAGCAATCAGTGGGGGGACAGGGGCAGGGGAAAAAATCGTAGTTTATTGCCAGAGTCAAGCTATATGGTGGCCTATTAATTCAAAGTAAATGATAGCATTAAGCAGGTAGTGTCTCCTCTTGCCTCCAAAGAGTTAATGACTGACTGTTGTCTTATCTGGACCTTAACTTAATCTGATAGAGCAAAGGCTCTGCTTAAGCAAAATTCATGGTTCTTTGCAGATCAGTGGCAGTGAGCATGTATATGTTTGAAGTATGCTGATAGAATAGTAGCAAAAAGGACCCGATCCTCTCATGCATACAAACATTAAAAAGACTAAGGTTTTCACTCGGATTATCACACCCAGATGAAAGAACATTTAGAGACTGGCTGACAACTTTGTTAGTGCTCAGAATGTCTTTTCTCAAAAAGGGAGGGAGAGTAAAACGGCTCTGAGGCAGTATGTGTAGGATCTTGTGACCACTTCATTTATCTTTACTAAAGAAAACAAACCTAAAAAACTCTTTCCCAGTTTTCATGCATTTTGGCTAGACTAGGAAAAAAGAGTCAATTATCTGTTTCATTAAGAGGGAACTGATACCTAGTTAAGGCCAAAATTATGCAGCAGACACCTTTGTTGCAGTAGAAACCAGTTCCTATTGGTTTGGGGTGGGGCAGGGGATGCAGGGAGTCGTTCAGTGCCACCGAGTTGATTTTCTACTCATAGACTCCAAGTGACGTGCCTAACAGGGTTTTCGAAGCTGTCATCTTTACAGAGGAAACCCTGCTAGTGTAGTGGTTATGAGCTCAACTGCAATCTTAACGGTTAGCAGTTCAGTGTAGGAAGATGGGGGCATTCTACTTCCATAAAAGTTACAGTCTCCCAAACTCACAGAGGCAGCTCTAATCTGTTCTATGGGGTCACTATGAGTTGTCACTAACTCACTGGCAGTGCATTTGTTTTGTTTGGGTTTCATCGTTCCAGGAACAGTTTTCCAGGTCTTTCTACCGTTGAACCACTGAGTGAATTTCAACCCAACCCTTCAGTCAGCAGCTTTACCCTTAATAGGGTTACAGGAAAATAGTTATGCCACCTGTAACCTGCTCTAACATCTGTAATCCATGTCTATAAAATGATTACCCCGTTACAAAATTTTCCCCTCACCCTTTTTATCTCTTTGCTTTTAGGTACTACCTAGACTGTATTTGGACACGGCCACTTTACTCTGGAACGGCAATGTTGTCACTGGAATGGATGGAATAACTAATTTTTTCGAAATGCTCCCCTCCAGTGAGTTTCAAATTAACATGCTAGACTGTCAGCCAGTTCACGGTAAGATCAGGATTTTCCAAGATACATGTTTCTGTCTCCCTTTAGTGTGTACCGACTGAGTTTTTTACACGATAAGCAGTAACGCTGAATGATGGAAGCCTTTACTTATTCACGCAAGCTAGGCCCTAAGAATATTCAGCAATCTAATCAAACTTTTGGTCTTACTTTAAATGCATTTCACTCCAGAGGTCGGCGAGTCAGTTTTGATTGATGATACGATTATGGTTTATGAAAACATACATTGAAACTATGATGTCTCTTAGAGAGGATGAGAGATTACGTTTTCCCTAAATAAATTGTTTCGTGCTGTATCCTGAAATGTTTCCAGAGAAACATATACCACACCTGTGATTAATTTCTTTTAGTAGGTTTCAAAAACCCACTGCCTTGCACAACACTTAATATATTTAAACCATGGAATCGTATGGTACATGAATTATTTGCCAGTGCAACTGTTAATTAAATAAATAACTAAACTAGTGGGGGAAACAACCCCTTGCCATTGAGTTGATTTGGACTCACAGCAACTCTATAGGACAGAGTAGAACTGCCTTAGATTTTCCAAGGCTGTAAATCTTTAAGGATGCTCAGTACCATATCTTTCTCCCATAGAGGAACGGGTGGGTTCGAACAGATAACCTTTCAACTAGAGGTTGCTCTAGCAGCAACCACTGTGTTGCCACGGCTCCTCATAGTGTCCTACAACCTATGAAAATTTCACCAAAAAAAAAAATTCAGTTAATTGAAAGGACAGAGCTGTTTGATAGTTTTGATACTGTTTATAAAATGAGCCTCCAAGTAGGGCCCACCTCATCTTTTCAGTAGTAGTTTAGGGGAGTTTTGTTTTACTTTTAGAGGTCTTAAAAAGAATAGGAACTTCAAACTCAAAATGTGAATAAGCACTAGTGGTAATCCAATTAAATATTAATTCATACAGTAAGTGGTCTCATGCTAGATCACTGGTTCCCAGGCGTATTGGCCTACTGCCCCCTTTTCGGAAAAAAAAATGACCCAGCAGCCCCCGGCAATTAAAAACGTTTGTGCTATAGCCCATAATCTAGGATAAAGTGTAGGTACCTGCTTATGCAGCCCCCACCCCTGCCTGGATCATCCCAGTATACTAGGGGAGCAGTATCACCCCACTTTGGCATATAAAGTCTTTTTAATATCTTAGAACTGATACTTGGTTTTCTGACCTAGGGGGTCCCCATTCAGATTCTGCACAAGGTCAAGAAAGTTATGAGAACTTTCTTTTAGTGCAATATCATCAGCAATGGTAGTTGAACCTGCTAACCTGCTTTATTTGGACATAAAAACTGACCTGTCCCCTTTCTTTTTCTTTTGGTGACGTAAGAACAAGCCACTCCATCTCAGAGTACTGTGCTTGTTGTTACCAGTGGAACCGTGAAGTTTGATGGAAGCCATCCTCACTACTACAACCAAAACTTTCTGCTGACCGCTCAGTCCACCCCTAACCAGACTGTGTGGAAGATTGCAAGCGACTGCTTCCGCTTTCAGGATTGGTCTAATAATTAAAGTGGGCAGGGGGGACTCCATTCTCCTTCAGCCCCTTCATTCCAGCAACCAAAACGTAGCACAAGTGTAATTCCCTTCATGGTAGAAACATAGTAACGTTGGTATGTGCCAACATAAAATCTCTCTGCCCTGCTGTGATGACTAGCAGCGCTGTTTCTAGCATTCACCTGTTTGAATCGTCGCCCTGTAAGAGCTCAAAGGCTGGTTTTGTGTATGCCCTCTATAAATCCCACCCCTGACTTTCCAATAGTAGTGTTACACCTAGGATCTCTGTCCTGATAATCGCTGTGAACTCAGCCCATTGCAAAAATGAACCCCTATTCGAACGTTCTCTGTGGGTTATCGGCACACCAGAACCCTGTAGGAGGAGATGGTTTTTTTCTGGTGATTAGGTTAATTTTGGAGTGAAAAACACTAGTTATGCAGTTTTCATACCTGCCTTTTTCCCTATCCATTCAATGAAAATCTTCATAATTTCAGTTTGCGCAACTCCTCTGACATCCTGGAATCGCATGTAGACTTGTGTTTGGTAGCCTTTTTACCTCTTAAGTCCTGTGCTTTATGTTGGCATGATTTCTTTATAATAACGTGAATCAGTACCCTAGAGATATTCTCAACCAGCCTCCAATTCCAGGGTACATTTGCTGATTTCAATATAAAACAGCTTAAAAAATTATTCTCTTGGCAGCTCCAAGTGTAACTTTAGGTGCCAAACAGTGATATGCCTAAAGGGGAATGGAAAATAAGAACTGTTGAGGGCCAAGGATAGAACCAAAACTAACGAAGGGAAGGGGAGTGCCCAGATGCTAAATTTGGGATACTTGTTATTTACTCCTTAAAAATTAGTCATATTTGAGGATTTCAACCACAGGGTCATTGGTATCCTTGCCAAATGCTCATGACTGTACCAATATTTTCAACATGATTTTTAAAAGATTTCAACTTAACTCATACTTGGCACCAACAGAAGTCTCAATTCCCATTTTTTTATTAAATACTTTTATTGGGGCCTCTTACATCTGTTGTCACAATCCATACATTCATCCAGTGTTTCAAGCACATTTGCACATATGCTGCCATCATCATTTTGAAAGCATTCTCTGTCCACTTGAGCCCCTGATATCAGCTCCCCATTTCTTCCCCCGCCATCCCTCGTGAACCCTTGATATGTTATAGATTATTATTTTCATATCTTTCATCATCATCCATCGCCCCTCACCCACTTTTCCGTTGTTTGGCCCCTGAGGGTTTTATAGGTTGACCCTTGTGATCAATTCCCCCTTTCTCCCCCCACCTTCCCCTAATCCTCCTGATATCTCTATTCATTGTCGGCTCTGGGGGTTTATCTCTCCTGGATTCCCTGTGTTGTGGGCTCTTGTCTATAGCAGTGTGCTTGTTCTAGTCTAGTCCATGTAGTCTCACGGGAAAATTAGAAACAAAGCCATTTCCATTAGTAATGGGATTTATCTTTTAACTTCTATGTCTTCCATGTGAACTTTAGGCCCCAAATCCATGATGTATTAAAGTCCCACAAAATTGCAAAAAAAAAAAAAAGAAATTAATTTTTTTAACCCCTGCATTTTATACCATCAACTGAGTTAGTTTTAATTACTTAAAAATAATTGTTATGATGTGTTCTTCCATCTGGCATTGAGCAATAGGCCCAATTTTTAAACATTCTGTTAGGTGGTCTACTCTGCCTTTCGAAAGAGAAAATGAACACTAGATTTTATAGAGTCGTGCTTCAAAACAGCAACGTAATTAACTTGATGTCTCAACTGCTAAAGAGAAGGACACCAAGCTTTGAGTTTTCTGGTTAGACATTAAACATTTTTCCATTATTTTTTAAGTGCTTTTAAGCTGCAGATGTCAGCTTAGTTTCTACATTACAACTTTTATCCCTTAACTTGAAAGCCACCAGCCCCTTGCCTCTTACCTCAAACTGCACACTATTTCTGCTATAGTAACAAAAGAAGGAGCTGGAACTGTAATTTAGAAATGATTCATGCCTTCTTCTAGTATACACTTACATATTCTGCTCAAAATTGAGCTTACTGCTATAAATCGACTTTTCAAAACCTCCACATTGCAACCATCTGAAAGCCTAAATACTACCTATCCCTGCCCTTAGGGAGACAAGTCTCAAGAAGAAGTTGCCTATAACTAGCAATAACAGCACTAATCAGCTATGTCTTTTAAACTAATTGTATTTTTATGACTTGCATATGAGTACTTTTTTTTGAATTCTGAATAACTTCAACTGGCTAGAACCTACTCTTTATGTGAATTATCTGTATTTTAATATGCTCATATTTTTGTAACTTGAAAAAATAATAAAAAAATCTTCCTTGTTGTAACAAGATTTATCCAGCTCTCTGTTTTAAAGATCCTTGTGATTTCTTTTTTTTTTTAGATCCTTGTAATTTCTTAAAGGTCCAGAGCAACTACTTGTTTCTTTACAGCATAAGGTTTTTCAAGTTTGAAAAATATGGTTAGTGTGTGATAAACTACAGTTGACAAATTGAACTTTCTGTAGTGGATTTCGCTTTGGGCTGCTTACCCCAAGGTCACCAGTTCCAAACCACCAGCTACTCCTCAGGAGAAGGGTGAGGTTTTCCATTGCCATAAAGATTAACAGTCTTAGAAACCACAGGGCCAGTTCTACCCTGTCCTATTGGGTTGCTGTAAGTCAGAATCAACTGCACAGCTATAAGGGGTTTGTTTTGTGTCCTGCCTTTTAGACTACCCTATTCTTTCTCCCTATCAAGTACTCATATTCCCAGGATCACTTCAGAGGGTGAAGAAATAATAGTTTGGTGAGAAGTTGGAAATTTTAACCTTGAGCAACTAGGCAGAATGCTAGTTTAAGTAGGCCATCAAAACAGTGCAACTGTCCCAGGAAGTGTGGGGCCCCTCTACCTTTAATACTACTCTGGAAATAGGTCAACAGACAATTTTGGAGAGGAGCAAGAAAAAGCAGTGACCCTTGAAATCAAATACCATATTTCATCTCTTCAAAGATGCACATGGTTTTCACATTTTAACAACCTTGAAAGGTATCTCAAATCTGACGTGAGTTTAAATGGCTCACCACCACCCTTTCTCGTTGGTGTATAAAATAATGTGTTGAGACTCAGCATCTTGGATGGATATGTAGAATTGCTGAGACAGAATGGTTAGAAATCTACTTGGGTCTAAATTTGGAGGCATTAGTAACTGAAAAACTATAAGCTTAAGATGTTAGCCACTCATGACTCAAAACTGTTATCATGCTACTTGTATTTCATGATCAACCCATATGCAAATGCATTGAGTCATCATAATTGTCGCCAAGTTTGGGGGCATTATTAATGTATAGTGTGTCCAAAAAAAAGTCCTAGTAAAATGGGATATGTGGTCTATTCTGGCGTGGAGCAAGAAGTCAAAAGCCAAAACGTGTACAGTGAATTGTTTTTTTCTGGAATTTTTCTGAATTGACTATTGCCTGGAGTTCATAGGCAGGAATTTGACAGGAGGAAACAGGATTTATGAATGTTTTTTAAAATGTGATATGATATATAGGACAGAACCACCCCTATTGAGGGAAAGGAGGAGCCCTGAGGGCATAGTGGTTATGCATTGGGCAATGGTCTGCAAGATCAGTTCAAAACCACCAGCTGCTCCTCAGGAGAAAGAGGGGGCTTTCTATTGCAGTAAAACAGTCCAGTCTCAGAAACATGGGCAGTTCACCCCTGGTCTATAAGGGCAGCTGTGAGTCGGCATCGGCTCAGTGGCAGTGAGTTTGGTTTTTGTATTTAGGGGAAACTGGTAGGGCACTTGACTGTCCGTTTTAGCATTAGGTTCTGTGCTTCCTCAAAACACTTGATACCAAACTGCTGACTTTTATTCGTTGCAATTAATAAATTCTCACCCATTTTCAATAGCAGCTTTTCTGTATAACAGATTTTTATTCTTTTCCTTCAATGACTAGCAGTGTCATTTGAATGTAATGTGTCCGGTGACACGTCTTTGGATTCACCATGGACTAAGGATTGAAGGACAGTTGAGCGCATTTTGGGGGGCATCTCTATTTGTGCGTACATCTACTGGCTAACCTGTATTTGTAACCTGAAGCCACTACTGCTCTCACAGTCGTTGGCACATGCGTATAAGAGCAGTCACAGGTTTGGCTCTTACTGCAGGTTCCCAGCTAAGGCCAAATAATGCGCATCTCTGCCTGCTTGTTTCAGCGCCTGTGCTTTCCAGGTTCTTCTGTAGTACCGCATATTTGACATTCGTTTGTGCATTTCATTAGTGATTTTTCGAATTAAAATGACCCCGAGGCATGGTACTGAAGGGCTGTCTAGTATGCCTAAGTGCTAGCAACATGGGGTGTTCCTCAGAGAGACAGCACAGGCATTAGAAACGTTTTGTTCAGGCCTGAGTTACAGTGCTGTTGGTCATGAGCTCAATGTGAAGGAATAAACCGCATGGTACCTGCAGAAAGAGAAGGGCCAAGTCACCAGTCTACGCAAGAGTGCTGAGAGTCACCTCTGCAGTGCATGATGGCACTGGAAATTGGGGGAAAGGCAGCTAAACAGATAAATACATTTGTGGGGCTGGGGGATTATTTGTAAGAAGTAAGGTCATTTTTTCAATAAATACACACAAAACAAGTGTATGTATGAACCAGTTGCTGAAAACATGCCCAAGGTCCACCGGAATCTACCCTTGTATTTTTCCGAGGACAGGGTCTCCTAAAGTGGCTGGTGCTGGCCCCTAAAGGCCACTGAAATGACCCAAGGGGCAGGGGGGTGGTATACAAAAGCAGCTAACCACTTTATCCTAAATTCTAGGCTAGAATACAAAAGTTTTGATTACTCGGCAGGCACTGAGTCTGGTTTTCTGTTTTGGGGTTTGTTTCTTTGAAAAGGGGTGGCCAAACAAGTTCGGGCCCCTGTGCCCTAGGGCAATTGTTCGGTATGTGCTAAGGCAGTGTTCTTGGTGAGCTGAAGGGATGGTACTGAATGTAACAAGAACTGACGATGCATCCCCTAGATTAGTGGCATTTTATCTACAGTGGCGTTTCACCCTGGCATACAGTCAAAACATTTTACCATGACCCACAACCCAGAATACAGGTGCCTACTGCACTGAAGTCCATACTAAAAACACCTGTCCAAAGTAAAACATGTCCTTACTACTTGAGGTATTGTCTGTTCATTTATTTTAGAACGCACGCTGGCCCTAACCTATGAAATTGCTTTCTAGAACTTCTAGTGATTTTCATTAGAAGCCCTGATGGCACAGTGGCATGTTGGGCTACTCATTGCCAGGTCAGCACTTCAAACCCACCAGTTGCTCTGTGGGAGAAAGACAGCATTCACTCCATAAAGATCTTAGCCATGGAAATCCAAAGGGGCAGTTTTCCTCTGCCCTATAGGGGCACTATGAGTCAGAATTGATCGGATGGCAATGTGTTCAGGATCAATTTGGGTCTATGAGTGCGCATTGATTTTTTTTTTTTTTGCCAGCAGTTGAAAGAAACACCACCTTTTCACAATCACTTTCTTGCAGAGATATGGGGTTGGTATCCAAAAAGTGTTACCATGTGTCAGTGATGTCACCCTGTCTTGGAATTGATCGAAAAAAATTCTCCCTTGTTACCTGTGTTGAGAGCCATGAACGGCAACACTATTTTCCTCTCGTTCCTTCACTTGGGCCTGAAGGTCAGAGCCAGAAGAGGAAAGGTTTTGCGTAGTCTTTGGGCTGACTCAGAGGTGATGCTGAGTGGCAAAGAAAACAGGGAAGAGAATGCCATATTTCAGATGACCATGCAGTGAACTGAGAAGGCATTCCTACAGAAGTCCTTTGATCGTGGTCTGATATCACACCAAGTCTATGCCTATAGATGTTAATTCAGTGACATGTGTCATTGTAAGTCGATTTTATTCTCTCCCTTGAACACACTTAACATCTGCACATAAACACACACACACACACACACACCCTGATTTGACAAGGGAATTCATCCCCAGAAAAGGACATTATGCTTGGGAAGGTTAAATA